GATTGTAGATGCTTTGTTTTCTGTTTTCACAAATCAAAAGCGAGTAAAACTTCTACAAATCTTCTGCAAAAAATGCAATTATATCGAAAATCCCGATTATGCTACAATTTTGTGATTCTCCTATATGCTCTTGTTACTCCTTACGAAACTGCTATGCTAAATATGGAATCCAAAAAAACATGATGAAGGGATAGATCTTCTTAAGAAATTTTGTAGATAATTTGTAGAAACATTGAAATTCTGTATTTTCATATTAATTTTTCAAATGATATGTAGTTTTGTTGTAGATTAAATGTAGAGAACAAGCCATTGTGAGTCTTATTTGACTCATTCCTCACATTCAACCTATTCTACAAATTCACGCCTATTTAAATACTATAGAACCATACTTTCTTGAATTTATAGGTATAACAATATATATAACTTAAAAAACATCTTCTCCTCTGCACAAGTTAGCTGCAAAACAGACGAAGTGGAATAACAAGCTCCCATTAAAACTTTTAACACAAAAACACAAAACTCAAAAATAAATAAACAACAGTCTACAATTTTTCTACAATTTATCTACAATTTCTGCAATATAATGTATGTCGTGTCTTCTTCTTCTTCTTCGAGTTTCAATCTGAATTCAGCCAAAACTAAGTCTAATCTTCACCAAAAAACCTCAAAATTGAGATATAAACTCCGAACCATATTCCCAATTATTTACAACAACACCCAATCCAAACAAATAATGATTTTGAAAACACAAATTAGAATTCAAAGCTTCAAAGCTTTTTAATGGCTGTCAATGGTGGAATTGCTGCTCTCTTTTCCTTTCCTCTTATATTACTGAAATTTGGGATTGTGAGATAGAGAGAGACGTAGAGAGAATTCTCAATTCTTTGCAAAAACATCCAATCCAAACAAACAATGTCTTTTGAAAACCCAAATTTGAATTCAAAGCCTTGGCTATGGAAGAAATAATGGGATTTTGATACAGAAATCGTGGGTGTGGGAGGGAAACGTGGATGAAGGTGTGGGAATTGGAGAGAGAAACGTGGGGGAAGTGGTATTAGAAGGAATATACGGTACCATTAATTTAGGAGTGTAATTAATATCCTTAAAAACCAATTATGGTATATAATTGGTAATTAGGTATACTAAATGTAATTATATCAAACTTTAAATATTGAGGGTAATATATTTTCGTATATGGCATAGGAATGTAAAAATTCCTATCGGACATTAGCAAGTTGTTGCTGGATGTATGTACTCTTAGGCCACTAGATGCAACAGAATAAGGTGCAGTCCAGCCCATTGTCTTTTACCCTTTTAAGAAGTAAACTAGGAAAAAAATATTTCAATACAATCTGCCATGCTTAAACGTTTCCCCTCCTATCTGTTCTCTTATAGAACGGGACTAATTAGTATATGGAGTAGTTAATTAGCACCATATTGTATTATACATTCTTTTCTTATTTACACTTTAATCTTTATAGTATTGGATGTTTATATCAATAAAATAATGTCATTGTATAACATTTTTAAAAGTTTCAAAAGTTCAAATCTTTTAAGTAATCAAACTTAAGTGTCAACCTTTTTTTGTTCATTATTCTAACTTCTCCGCTATCGTTTTAATCATTTTTTTCTTCTATTTTTTAATCGCTGAGCTTTTATACGCGATGATATTAGGGAACATTACAATTAACTCCCCTTACTTCCCATAGGTACTGTTTAATTAAAGCAAGAATCTCGCCCACCAAACATCATATATATCTTTCATCATCCATTTGAAATAATAGTCGATCACCAAAACGATGGAAAGTAATAGATGCCGTGTTTTCTGTTATGGTCTTTGGTTATCATTGGGCCCAGGACCGTTTTATATGAAAGGACAAGGGACGGTATTCAAAGAACAAGTATGTACCAAATGGTGCAAAATTAAAGCAACAAAAGCATAACTTTCAAAGGTGTCAAGTCGCTCCCAATCCTACTTAATACTTTTATTTGCTGCCCCCACCATAGACCTCAGCTACAATTCATTTAACGTGTGTCACCGTCCGGGAAATTCGCCTACCAAATTGGTATTCTCTCGAAGACTCAGTGGGACACAATTTACCATGCTCAATTCTTCTATGTTTTTTTTATTCACGACAATGACTGAATCGAAATTTTTATTACGGGGTTAAAAATATAAATAAGTTAATACACAAAGAAGTCAATAGAATTCAATATTTGTTATATATACATAAAAATAATTTTCACCTTGTATATATATTGTGTAAAAGGAGTACGGACAAACCCTCTTATGCCAACCTGACCACGAAGCTTGTGAAACAATGCGAATCTAACAGAGTACTATTTTCATCCGTTAAATTTTAGTTTGGCTGTTTTCTTAATGGTTCATAATATTCCTATTGTTACTTTTAAACAAAAAGCGTGTTCTCTAATAAGTATTTACAGGTGCGACATTCAATTCTCACTGTCAGTTTTTCATTTTCTTCCTCTTATTTGAGCCTTCCTCACTCCAAAAGGGGAAAAAGGATAAAAGAAGAAATAAGTGTAAGATTTTTAACTATACACCGTGCCCTGGCATGCATGTTCAAGTTATAAAAGTGCATTTGTATGTTTGTGTGTATATTGTATGGGTCCAAATTTGGACTACCACGGCCACTGACGAGGGACGGGACCATCACGATACGGCGTTCTTTGGTCGTTGAGGAAGGCGATGATTGGTAGCGGCTGGAGAACGTACGACATTGGTAGTAATGTAGGTGCAGCACGAGGCCGTCAGAATATACTTTGGAATATTCTTTTTTGTTATATCTTTTAGGGTTCAGGAGGGGATTGTCCCTTATAAATAGAAGGAGAAGACTCTATAAAGGGGGCTTTTTTCTTGGGCACTTGAGGAAAAAGCAAGAATATTCATTACAATATCTTCCCACATTCAAAGTTATCATATCAATGCTTAATCGTTCAATTTCGTAGTATTAAGAAACATTATTCATTGCGCTCATCCTTTATATCTTTCAATCTAGATTCCATTATTCTTAGCTGAGATTTACCTCTTCATCTTCTCTAATTGATTTAATCAAAAAGGTTTCGATAACTTTTGGTCAAACAATTTGACACCGTCTGTGGGAATTTCTTTAGCTAAGATTTTAGTTTCATCTAGATCCTTGAAAGGGATGATCACCTCTTCTCTACCTTGCAAAAACCGACAATGGAAGGAAAGGGGGACGCAAGATTAAAGGCAATAGTAGGTGTCACGAACAACCTTCTAGATTCCATCAACGAAGCCGGTAGGGAAGATAACGAAAACGCAATTCCAAGCCCTACACCTGAGGGAGATACCTCAACCCCCTCCCCCCCCCCTCCCGCATGAAAGCGTGACTGCCTTACACGAGAGGGGAACCTCAACATCCACAGCAGGTGAAGCACCACCATCTATGAAAAGGCTGTTGAAAGAGTGGTTGACAAACACTCTAAGTAACATACTCGACAAACATGTTCAAAGGGATATCGGAGACACAATACATGCAGACATCGTAACGGTCGCCGATTAGCTAGAAACTCCACGCACAGGCAACACTCATATTGTCGTCGATACAGGTAATGATGCACTTGCAGCCATCTTAAAGAAAATGGAAGAAACGAAAAATGAGAACAAAACGCTCCGTGATCAGATGAAGGAACATCAAGAAAGGGTCGATAAAATACCGGGCGCTCCGAAGTTGCTACCAAAACGGGATGTCGGTCGATTCGTCGAGCAACCATACAGTAAAGGGGCAGCCCCCCACTCTATCCCAAAAACCTTCAAAATGCCACCATATTTGAAAATATATGATGGTACTACGGACTCAGAAGATCACATAATCCACTACGTCACAGCCGTAAAAGGCAACGATCTGTCGAAAGAACATGTGTCATCGGTGCTACTGAAAAAATTCGGCGAAACCCTGACAAGGGGAGCGCAAATGTGGTATTCTCAACTACCGCTCACGCGGGAGCGAAAAAGGCAGAAGCCAGGGTAAACGACATCTTCGCCATTAGGCAGACGAAGGGCGAATGACTCAGGGACTTCTAGCCAAATTCAACAGGGTAAGAATGAGCCTACAAAACGTATCAGAGGGGATGGCGGTAGCGACCTTCAAAAATGGGCTAAATAGAAATGGGTTGAAAGCAACCAAAAAACTGCTAAGTAGGCTCATGAAATATCTTCCCACCATTTGGGAAGAAATCCATAATGCCTATTGTGCCGAAGTAAGGGCAAACGAGGACGACCTAAATAGTCCAATTCAATGGCTAACATCAGTCCAAATCGAAACAAGGAGAGATCGCCGCAACGGTGGCCGAAGGGATCAACTACCCCATTTCAGTTGAGAAAGGCATAAGCCCTACATCCGTACATCCATCCCACCTCCTCCCCGACATGCAAATGCCACTCCTCGACACACCGCTCCACACCGAATGAAAGAGGTATGCCTCCATTATTATCTGCTCATAACTTTTGTGTTTCTCCTTCAGAAATAGTGTATGCACTAGAAAAGCTCGGCACAAAGGTACAGTAGCCGCAAAAGATGAAATCCGATCCGAGCACCCGGAGATCGAATGTTCTGTGCGAATTCCATCAGGAAAGAGGGCATAAGACCGAGGACTGCATAGGTCTGCGATAGGAAGTAGTAAGAATACTAAACCAGGGACACCTGAAGGAACTGCTGAGCGGTCGAGGACGGGTTAACTTCGCCCGTGGACGCGACCAACCTCAAGGACCCCAAAAACCACCTTTACCCGCTCGTACCATACAAATGATCATCAGCGGCGGCGATGATACTGTATTCAACCATGTAAAATTCACCACTACACACAAACTCAAACGGACAGTCGCTCACGAACGGTACAACAGCCTCTAAGACAGTATCATCTTCGATAAGTCGGATACCAACGATTTGTCTTTCCCTCACTATGATACTCTGGTTATAACTTTACATGTTGCGGATACCGATGTAAAAAGAATAATGGTAGATGACGGAAGCGGTACGTGTATTATTCACCCACGAGTCCTCATACAGATGAGACTCGAGGATAAAATAATACCGCGCTGCATAACGCTAACAGGTTTTAATAATGCAGTGGAACGAACCTCTAGAGAGATAGTGCTGCCCGTTCTAGCCAGAGGAGTCACTCTGGAAATGACCTTTCACGTCATGAACCAGGAAACAGCCTACAAAGCTATCATAGGGCGCCCATGGATACACGCCATGAGAGCCGTCCCATCAAGTTTCTATCAAGTAATCAAATTTCCTACTCCATGGGGAATATTCAGCATCTGAGGCGAGCCACGCACCGCCCAAGAATGCTACCGAATCGCCCAAGATTGCACACACACCCAGCAACTAAAGGGAGCAAGTGCGGAAGCATATCAATCAGCCATATCGGGAGCCAAGCCCGGCATACAAATAGAGGCCATCAAAGACCCAGATGTCGTAGAAGCCTGCAAGTCAACCGTAGAGGACCTCGATCCTGTTCTATTGGACAACAACGACAGCACGAAAAAAACTTATATCAGGCACAACCTTTCAGAACCAGGCAAGTTCCATGAATTTTTAACTAACAATGCCGATTTATTTGCCTTTTCCCATTCAGATATGCCGGGAATCCCAAGGGACATCACCACACACAAGCTGAATGTCGACCCCCTTTACCCGCATGTGCAGCAAATGAAAAGAAAGTTCAACGTCGCTATCAACGATGCAGTTAGTGAAGAAGTCGATAAGCTTCTCGCTAATGGTTCCATCCGAGAATCAATGTACCCTCAGTGGGTCGCCAATGTGGTCGTGGTGAAAAAAAACGGGAAGTGGTGGATGTGTGTCGACTTCACCGACCTAAACAAAGCATGCCCAAAAGATTCCTTTCCATTACCACACATCGACCAGCTCATCGATGCACGGCGGGGCACGAATTATTGAGCTTTTTGGATGCCTATTCTGGTTACAACCAAATTCTAATGGCAGAAGAAGACCAAGAAAAGACCAGCAAATTCCCATGGTTCCCCGCAAAGATACCAACACGCTAGTCGCTTTAGGCGCGTTATTTAATAATTTTACCTTCCTAAACTCGGGTGTGCATTTCATGCAACCCAAATCCAAATCCCAAAACGTTGAATGAGAGGTGTCGAGGATCCGGGTGCATTTCATGTGACGTGATCCAAGAACACACTCTTAAACGGCGTTCACTTTCGTAAAAATAATTGAAAGCGGTAAATAATCTATAAAATTGCACTATAAGTTTGAACTTGTATAAAAATCAGATTTTTAGCCATCTATAATAATTTAAGCGACCGTGCTAGAACCACGGGATCCGGGGGTGCCTAACACCTTCCCTCGGGTCAACAGAATTCCTTACACAGAATTTCTGGTTCGCAGACTCCAGTTGGGAAGTCGAAATGTTCCTCGATTTGGGATTTAAATTAAATCGGTGACTTGGGACACCAAAAGCCAATCCTTTCCCAAGTGGCGACTCTAAAAATCAAATAAATAATCCCATTTCGAATAATGTCACTTTAAATGGAAAAACTCCCCTTATACATTATCCTTCGGGGTAGGTGTGTAAAAAAGGAGGTGTGACAGCTCTGGCGACTCTGCTGGGGAAACGAACCCAGAATTGCGGTTCAGGGTTCAAGAATTCGAGCTTAGTACAATTGTTATATTTGGCTTTACCTGATTTTTTTTACGTTCCATGCTATATGTGCTAAATGTTTTACCGCTTCGATATTTGTTGAAATTGTATATATAAACTGTCACGAATCCCTTCCTCTTTCTGAGTCATCTACATCATGGAGAAGGGTGCACTTCGTGTAGCTTCTCTTCTGTTTAGAGTCTTTTCCCATTTAGAACGAGGTTGGATAAGTTGCAAAGCCGGCGGAGCTTCTGTATCCCCGGTACGCTGCCTCCCCCTCGGCTCGAGTTGTCCGCTCGGGTAAGCCAGGTCTAGACCAGTAAACCTAGGGTTAAACCTAGAAGAACAAAACCTCATGCCGGATCCCTAGTAGGACGTTTGTTTGCATCATGTGCATTTGACTTAGGGGACTCAACACAGGGGTTGGGTCCGTCTAGGACAGGTGACCTGAAATGAATTGACCATCCTGATGCATCTTACGTGCTACTTGCGCATTTATTTGCTCGGCTTTGCATGTTGACCGGTTCGTCTAAATGAGTGAAAATTGAGAAAATAAACAGTGTTAGGACTAAGTGAGGGTGACCATTTGTTTTGAAAAACCCCAATGCCCAAATAGTGCCGAAATGCTGCCGGATTTTTGAAAAATGAAAAGAGAAAAAGAAAATTGCTTGGAAAAATAGGAAGAAAATTGTTGTTCAAAATAGTTTTGATTTTGGCAAATCTGCCCGAACTACGCCGGTTTGATTCTCACCGGATGTGAGATACGTAGGCAACCCTCATCGGGTCCAACCCTCCCTTTTTCAAAAATAACCAAAAAATGCCGAATTTTGTGTCATAAATAAGTCGGGTGATGCCATTCCTGTTTAAATAAGCCGAATGTCCCCAAAAGGACGCCGGAAGGCCGTTTTTGCAAGAATAGCCACCCTGAGTCATTTTCAAATGGTTTGCGGGCACAGCCTTAAAATCTTCCTCCCAGAAGTGCTGAAAGGCCGTATTTGCAAATCCAAGTCCTTATTTTCTAAATAAAGAATTTTTGCACAAATAGCCATTTTTTTCAAAATAAATCATTAAATTCCCCTAAATAAAAGTGCAGGATGAATTCAAGTGACATCGAAACCTTCTCAGTCCTGAGCGAGATCCCTTTGAAACTCCATATGTGGTGGCATGACTTGGGAAAAGGAAGCAGAGATACTGTAGTTAAAAGCCTGGGCGGTCTTGTAGATTTATTGAAAATCAAACCAAGGAAGGATGTCATTGAGGCACTGATACCATTTTGGGATTCGACCCGTAATGTATTCCGGTTTTCAGATTTTGAACTCACACCCACATTGGAAGAAATTGCCAGATATGCCGGTCTCAACGGGAACCTCCGCGGTAGATACCCTTTGGCCCCACGACCGGTAACTCTTCATAGGTTTTTGGACTTGTTGAACATCAGTCGGGATATTCAGGACCCGCATCTGGCGGAAGGGTGTTGTACACTACATTTCCTATATCACCGGTATGGTGACCCCAAAGGTTTGAGGAACCTAATACAGGATTAACATATGCTGGAAATAAGGACAAATGGGAAGCCCGACGAGCATTAGCCTTCATGGTGGCCTTTTTGGGAGTGGTAATTTGTCCTAGAAAAGATGGTCACATAGACCTTGGCCTAGTAGGAATGCTAGATGTTGCCATGAAGAAACCTACTAGCACTGTGGTTCCCCTGATTGTAGCAGAAATATACCGAGCTCTGACCAAATGTCGAGAAGGGGGGAAGTTCTTTCAAGGTTGCAATTTGCTCTTGCAGTTGTGGATACAGGAACATCTCTATCACCGCACAGGTTATATGAACTACGGCTTAACCGGGTTGAGTTGTATTGCAGAATTCGAGACCCGAGTTACAGGTATTGAGTTCCCGGAGGGTACTGAGGCCTGGTCGTCATGTTTAAGATCCCTCACTGCAGATAAAGTGGAATGGGCTTATGGATGGCTTCCTCCTACTGAAGCTGTGTACACATCGGCAGAGGTCCCTTATATTCTTTTGATGGGTATTCGAAGCATTCAGCCCTATGCTCCTTACCGCGTTTTGCGACAATTTGGAAGATTCCAGACGGTGCACAACGATGAAGACCTGAGTGGGCAAGTCATTGAGTTGGGCCCAAAAGCTGCATTCCCTGAAGGCCGAATCCGAAAGATATGGAATGAGTGCAGGTACCTTGAGCCTAAAACTATAGTACAGGACCGGGCCAGAGGTGAGTAGATCCCAAATACTTGGTTTGGTTCGGTAAAAGGTTTCAAATCCCCGAGAGACCCGCCAAAAGGCCACATGTGCAACAATTAACAAGCGAGGCTCAGGTGCAGTGGGAGGTTGGCTAAAGAAAAGGAGTACAGAGCCCGAATTGGAGCATTGGAAAAACAGGTTCAGGAGCTTCGGTTTGAAAACAGCTTGCAAGCCGCAGCCGATGAAGGTGATAAAAAGCAATTGGCCCAGGAGAATGAAGCTCTCAAGGCCCAAATTCAACAACTGAAATTAGATGCAAGGAATCGAGAAAGAAGTCTATCCGACGAGAGATTGATAAGAGGGTTGAAGAAACAAGTCCTGGACTGTCAGGAAGAATTGGAAAAATTCGAGGGAAGCATGGCAAAACTTCGGGCTCAATGGGCAAAGAAGACCGAGGAAAGGGCCCAGTTTGTACAGCAAATGAAGAAAAACTATGAGGGAACCATCGCCAACATGAAAAGAAAAATGAACACTCTTGAAGAAAAGGCAGCCCGTCGGGAGAAAGAGTTACAGGCCGAGAGGGAACAATGCTATGGATTAATCGCCGATATGGAGAAGGAAGTAAAATTGTTATAGGATCTTCACTTCCAGGATTCTCAGGTACTAGAGGCTCGCACTCAACAGACAAGCCGGCTACTCCAAGAGAAAGATCAAATCAGGGAGAGAATCAGAAACATTGCCAACTACATTGTCATGAAGTGTCAGGCCGGTGAACGGATGGGTCGTACCACATTCTTT